CCAGGACATGAGAATATTCCAATACCCAGGACATGAGAATATTCAAAACCTCAGGACATGAGAATATTCCAACACCCAGGACATGATCCTGAGCAAATAACTGGTAAATCTGACTCTGCCTTGAGGAGTTGGACTGGATGATCTCCAGGAGTCCCTTCCAGCCCCAAAAATCCCGTGACTCTATGAATTTCAGACACAAAACTTGCCTTGTCGTTCATGAGCTGATGGTTCAGAGGGGTCCACGTGCTCATCTTGATCTGCAGCTTGGAGCCATCCGTGTTCCTGGGAGGAGCAAATGCCATGGATGCAGGAGGCGGGGGGAGCCTCTTGTCAGCTCCAGTGGCTACAACATTTACACAAAACAAAGGCCAGCATTATCCCTGTGCTGTTCCTCTACATGGAAAGCAAATAATTTTAAGAAAGAATCCGGTGGTTTCACAGCACAGCAATGACACGAGGAAAATTATTGGAAAATCGGGTAAGGCCTTTTATTTTAGGTACCCACAGGAAGTAAAGGAAGTAAAATCCCTGGAAGTGTCCAGGTTGGATGGGGCTTGGAGCAATCTGGGATAGTGGAAGTATCCCTGCCCACGGCAGGGGATGGAACTGGATGATCTTTAAGGTCCCTTTCCCAACCCAAACCATTCTGGGATCCTGGGATTTCCCCGTGGAACCTCTGTGCACTAATAAATACTTTATAATTAAGCAGGTTTTCCCCATCACAAATGTTGTTGAATATGTCTTTGAACTGGCTTCCCAGGGCAGTTGTGGAGTCCCCATCCCTGGAATAGTTCAAAAACTATGTGGATGTGGCACTTGAGGACGTGGGTTCGAGGTGAACACGGTGGTGCTGGTTGATGGTCGGACTCGATGACCTCAGAGGTCTCTTCCAACCTTAACAATCCTACAATTCAGTGATTTTTTTCCTGCGTGAATCATCACAACAGGGTCCTTGCAGCAAGTTGGAAAGTACAGGAAATTCCCTTTTCCAGTTATTGGGACTGAAAACTGGAGGTAACCGGTGCGTCTGCTGGTTTTGTTGGGGCATATCGTGCCAAGTCTCAAAGGGGCAATTTGTTTCTGGAACCCTTAAATGAAAAAAATGAAACCCCAAATGGTTCAGAGCTGACTGAAATCTTGCAGGGTCCTGTGTTCAGGCAGAGCAAGTTTTGATGGTTGGGATTGTGCTGCTCTTTTAAACTGAAATTTCTACGTGAAGCAAATCAGACATTCAACAAAATGTTCCCTTCCCAATTAACTGAATTTCATAAAATTGCAAAGGTTGGAAAAGACCTTTAAGATCGTCAAGTCCAACCATCTCCAAAGTAATTTCTTCTTTAATTCTTGCCCAAATGCAGGAAAAGTTGTTTTTGGTTTTTTTTCCTTTATCTCCTATCCTGCAGCTGGATTCAGCAGGATAATGCCATTCCTCACCTCAAGTATCCAATTCCCAGACTGCAGACTGAAACTGCAGCAGCCTGAAAACCAGATAATTCCTTTACCACATTAAAAATATCTCTGTTTCCTGCACACAGTGATTAGGCAGTTTTCCTGTAAATACCTCAGATTGCTTTAAAGCTTCATGGTAATAAAGATGGATAACAGTAATTTTGGAACACAAGAAAAGGCAAATCCATGAAGTTAACTCCCATATTGTCTTTCCAGCCTGCCCTGAACCCAAACACCTCAAAACTCACCCAGAAAAAGGACATTTCTTGCTAATACAGCTCTGAGGCTCAGGAGAGACATCGTGGAAGCTCAGGGCCCCATTCCTTACCCAGACAAAATTCCTCAATATATAAATGGATTAATAATCTTCAAAACCCACTGCAGCATCTACCTGGGATCATCACTTTTATGATTAATTTTTCTTATGGAAACAAAGAAACATAAAGGAAAAGCAATGAAGAACCTGTTACATTTTCTTCTCTGCACCTGGGGATGTAACGTGGTCCTTGGAAATAAGGAGTTCTTCCTGCCTTTTTTTTAGATTATTTTTTTTTGGAGGCTAAAGGTCCTCAAAGAACATATTATCTGCACATGGAAATTTTAACCTCCCACAAAAAGACGCTGAGACCTAAAGGACTCACCGAGGTTTCACAGCCCCGAATTCTGCAGTTGGACGATGCCAGAGGCTTCTTGTGCAACTGAGTAGGTGTTTTTGGGATACACTTTGGGATGGCATCACTCACTGGGCTGTTTTTGTTTTGTTTTCCTGCAAGGCCCCTGCCCATTCCAACGCACAGAAACGCCGGAGCAGAGAAACAGCTCCTCTGCCAAAAAAACAGGTTCGGGCAACCATGTCCTGTTTTTCAGGGACAACTCTCTCCATTAGTCACAACCCCACCAGCTGGCACTGCAGAACACTCCCAGCCCCGGGTTCACGTCCCAGTTTTCCCTCACAGATGTGGTTTCTTGGTGCTGGAGTGGCCACATTCCCGGAGCATCTCTGAGGGCTGGCACGGGAGCAGCTCCCCGGGGCCTCGGGACCCTCTTGTGCACCTGTTGTGCCAAAAATGTGGCTCAGGGTGTGGAAGAAGCCTGGCTACGACTTCCTTGTGAGGGGCAGGCACTGATCTCTTCTCTTTCCAGCTACAGGACATGAGGGAGTTGTTCTAGGGGGGGTTTAGGTTGAATCTCAGGAAAAGGTTCTTCCCTCAGAGGGTGGTCGGGCACTGAACAGGCTCCCCAGGGAATGGTCACTTCCAAAACCTGCCAGAGCTCAAGGAATGTTTGGACAAGGCTCTCAGGGACACAGTGGGATTTTGGGGTATCCTATACAGGGCCAGGGAGTTGGACTGGATGATCCTTGTGAGCCCCTTCCAGCTCAGGAGATTCCATGATTCCATGATCCTGTGATTTTATCTTTGTGCCTTTCCACGATCCCAGGTTGCTCCAAGACCCGTCCAACATGGCCTTGGACACTTCCAGGGGTCCAGAGGCAGCCACAGCTTCTCTAGGAATTCCAGCGAGCCCCTCAGTACCCTCACAGCCAAGAACTCCTTCCCAATATCCCACCTAAATCTCCTCTCTTTTGCTTTAAAGCCATTCCCCTTCATCCTATCACTTCAGCCAGGGCCCCACTTCTCTTCTGCAACAGTCTTTATCTTTGGACTGGTTGCCCAAAACAACATTCCAGAGGTTGCTCCAGCTTGTTCTTCACATACCCTGGGATGAAATTCATCCAGCTCAGCTGATCCGAAAACATTCCACCAGCAAGAGAGATGGGATGAGGTTAACAGGGAATCAAGCTTTAAATACATGTAAGAAATGTGTTGCTTCACTACCTAGGGAGGAAAAACTATTGACACACAATGCCCCAAAAAAATATCATCTCTTATCCTTCTAGAAAAAATAAAAAGGGAAAGTGGGAGCAGGTGGCAGGAATAGTAAATGCCAGTGCAGAAGAGATTTGGGGGGAAGACTGAGGAAAGTCCAACTTTTAGGAGTTTATACGGGGTTTAAAAGAGGAAAACTGCCTCAGTTACTGCAGCCAGAGTCCCTGGGAATGGTTCCCAGTTTGGATGGAAGGACACACCGAGTGGGGATCCAAGAGATTTTGGTGATGTTTGAAGAAGATGAATAATTCCACAGGGCAGGAAACATGAATGGTGGGTTCTAACAGTGAGACAATTTAAACCACTGGAAATACTTTCACTGATTTCAGCACAAGCTGGGTCAAGTTTTTGGTTTAAAAACCCAAATGATTGCACTGAAGAAAGCTTAACAACCCATAATGATCATATCTCACTAACTAAGGGCATGGGAATAATTTCCTTTACCTGGGCTAATCTCTGCGTAACCCTCTGGAATGGCATTCCAGAGGTTTGGGCAAACCATACTCAGAACAACTCCTGCAGGAGCAGACCCACTTTATTAATGTTTTTTGACCACATCCCTCCAGCAAAGAGCCTTTGTGGTGCACAGAGCCCGGCCCACTCAGAATTTTAAGGATGCATTTTTCCCAATCACATCAATCCACGGGAAAATCCGAGGAGTTCAGCTGGGAATAAACGGAGTTTAACGGAATCAACCTCAAGCTAAGACAGGAAAGCAATTTTGATTGCAATTATTTCAAAAATAAGCAGTGGGATGATGGAAGAAATGCTTTGAGCAGCAGCAACAAGCACGGGAACAGAGGGCAGAGAATGGATGGAGAGCTGAGGAGAAGGACCTGGGGGTGAAATCAATAGTCCAGCAAGGCTGAGACTCGTCCATGGATACAAAGTGCTTTTCCCACTCATTTCCTGAGTTTATACTCTTTGCATGATGCTTTTATTCCCTGTCCTCCCTGCGCTGTGGGAGGTCCCCCTCACGGCACCCCAGAATCGTCCAGGTTGGTAAAAGACCCCTGAGATCATCCAGTCCAACATTTACCCACCACTAACCCAGGTCCCCAAGGGCCACATCCACGTGGTTTTTGAACACCTCCAGGGATGGGGACTGCACCACTGCCCTGGCCAGCTATGCCAGTGCCTGAACACCCCAGTATCCAACCTGACCACCCCAGTATCCAACCAGTATCCACCCAGTACCCTCCCTGGCACAGCTGGAGGCCGTTCCCTCTCCTCCTGTCCCTTGTTCCCTGGGAGCAGAGCCTGACTGCCCCCAGCTCCCACCTCCTGTCAGGGTGTTGTGGAGAGGGAAAAGGTCCCTCCTGATCCCTCTTTTTTTGGGATGAGCCCCCCCAGCTCCCTCAGCTGCTCCTGCTGCTCCAGCCCCTTCCCCAGCTCCATTCCCTTCCCTGGACATGCTCCAGCCCCTCCATGTCTCTCTTGTCTGAGGGACCCAGAGCTGCCCCCAGCCTTGGAGGTGCCCCAGCAGTGCCAGCACAGGGAGACAATCCCTTCCCTGCTCCTGCTGCCACACCAGGGCTGGTCCAAGCCAGGTGCCACTGTCCCCACCGTGTCCCCTCAGGGCTCGGCCGTGTCCCACTGCAGTGACACCCCTTCCCCACACTCTCCCAGGGTTCCCATGTCCCCGCAAGTCCCCCGGTGTCCCCTCATGTCTCCCTGTGTCCCCTCACGTCTCCCCGTGTCCCACTGCCATGACATCCCTCCTCGCGCTCTCCCGGGGCTCCCGTGTCCCCCTTGTCCCCCCGTGTCCCCTGAGGGCTCGGCCGTGCCCCACTGCAGTGACACTCGCTCCCCACACTCTCCCAAGGCTCCCGTGCCCCTCCGTGTCCCACGGTGTCCCCTCACCTTCCTCCTTCCTCCCTCGGACGTCGCCGCCTCCTCCTCCTCCTCCTCCTCCTCCCCCCTCCCCTCCGCATCCCGTCGCCATGACAACCCGGGGGTGGTCGCCAGCCAATCAACTCCCCCCCCGGCGGGGTTAGCCCGGCCGGGGCTTCCGATCTACCTAGCAACCTGCCGAGCGCGCTCCGATTGGCCGCGCGGCGGGGGAGGGGGCGTGGCTCTATGGCGCGGAGGGGGCGTGGCCTGGCGGCGGGCAGGGCGGGCGGGGAGGCGCGCGCGCTGCCGCCGCCGCCGCCGCCGCCACCCGAGGGGACAACGCGGGATCGCGGGGGCTGCGGGACCCCCGCGGACAGGTACCGGGCACGGGGCGATGGGAGACGGGGGCATCCCCGCGGGGGTGCCGCCGCCCTCTGGGCCGCGGGGACGGGCAGCCGCCCGCCGAGGCGCTGGCGGGGCGGCCATGCAGCGCTGGGCGGGCGGGGGAGCGGCGGAGCGGAGCGCAGCGAACGGGGGATGCTCGTCCCGGGAGAAGGACCGGGGGATGCAAGTCCCGGGAGAAGGACCGGGGGGATGCTGGTGCTGAGCGCCGCGGAGGGGATGGATTCACCGCCCGTCCCTCCCTGCGGGGCCGGGGGTGCTCGTCCCGGGCTCCCCCCGCGCCGTAGTGCGGGATCCCGGGGAAGGGATGCTCGTCCCTCATCCTTCTCCCTTCGCAGCTCTGTCCACGCGCTCCTCTTTCCTTTTCCACCCAGATGTTCTGTGCGAGCATCTCCTTCCTTCTCCTTCGCCGTGCAGCGGGAATCCGAGAGGATGCTGGTCCCGCGTGTGCACTTGTTCCCTTCGCCTTTAAAACGCGGCGAGGATCCAAGGGGAAAAGGAGATGCTCGCTCAGCATCCTGCTTCCCACCTCGGGGAGGATGACCAGCTCCCTCTCCAGTTCCTTCCCAAGGAATAAGGAACTCAAGGAGCGAGCTGCCAGACCCATCCCTCTGGATCTAGTGAGTGGAATCCCTGGAGTTGGAACTAGACCCAAACAATTCCATGATTTCATGAAATCTCACCCAAGAGGGTTTGTGCCTTTCCACACTCCCTGTTTCCTCCACGGTCTCCTAACTGAAATAGTGGGGGGGTTATGGTGTGGTTCTCCCTTTAGATGCAACACAAGTGGAACAGGGGAGCACGAGCACTGGAGTTTCTTTCCTACTGTCTAATTAAAATGGAGTTGGGAGAATAATGTATTCTGCTTTTGTGCCTTCATGTGGGTGGGAATGGGCTGGGGAAGCGCTGGCAGTGCTTGTGTGCAATGAATGAGCTCCTTTCCTTCCCTTTCTCCGTGGTCAGGACTGGGTGGGGAATGACTGAGGTGACATTTTCCTCTTGTCCTCTCACTTGTACAGGAGGAGTCCGGGTTGTTGTTTTATCTTCCCATTTCCCTGGGACAGATAACTGTGAATTAATCCTCCTTCATCCTTTCTTTCTAAAGTCTCATGAGTTTTTACTCATTGTTCCTCCCCGTTAGGAACTTTCAAATTTATTTTAAAATTTGCTTGTGGGAGTCAACCCTTTCTTTTCATTATTTTCACTCTTTTTCACAGTTGTCTTTACATGCCTTAATGTCTCCTTTACACCAGGGGTTTGGATGAGCTTCTTCTGATGATAAATAATGTATAAATCCACAACCACACCAACAAACTACTGTTTCCTACCCCTTTTCCCTGCATTTTATTTGCAGTGCCTTGGGGTGGATGAGGAGACATCCCCTCCTTTTTTTATCCCCGGTGTCATCAAAAGTGTTTTGTTTTTATATACATATAAAAATAACCACAAAATCTCATATGTAGAGGCTTAACAAAGAGTGTACAAACTGGATCTGTGGTAAGAAGCTCTCCTGACACTCAGGATTGCTTATTACAGCACCCATCTGTCTGCACCAATTAATAGATCATCTATATCTCCTTTGCAAAACTTGGCTCTCCTTTCGCAATCATTTGATTCTCTTTTTGCTTCATTTCACCTGGAATTACGTTGTTTTCCCAGGAAGGGGCACTGGATGACCTGGCTGTATAATTAGATGTACTTTTCTGTCTCTTGTAAATATGTTTTTGATTTTCTTTCTGCTGCTATCAGCATAAAATGGAAAGGTCCTGAGAGGACATGATGAAATTTTTTCTGTTTTTTGCGTAGTTAAACTTTTTTTTTTCCTGGTTTGTTGAGTCTTGTGGTTTTGCACGATTTTAGCAGTTTGAGGTTCTGGGGGAGTCAGAGAATAGGTGGATTTTTTTTTTTTTGGAGTCTCTGCTTTACGATTTGTGTGAAGTATTCCTGAAAATTTTTCCCAAGACTCCAGATGCTGAGCTGGATTTTCCCAATATTTGTGCTTCAGACTTTAACTGGTGTGTGTACAGTTCATTTTATGTTTCTTCTGAACCTCTTTAATGAAGCATTTTCTACTGATCACTGCTGCAGTGGCACCTCAATTAAAGCAAGCCAAATAAGTCACTTGCTTCTCCCACACTGTGAGGTGACTTCACCGAAATTCTGGAATAAAATCTGGAGGATTTGGTGGTCGAAGTGTTTGGGAGAGAGAAAAAAAAGGAATTACAGGAATCCAACAAGCTCAAAAAGCTTCTTTCCCTGACTTTGAGGAACTATTGTTAAAAAGTGCAAACTAAAGGACTGGATTCCAAGGGGATTGGGCACCTTGTACAACGTGGAATCAAGGATTGGTTTGGGTTGGAAGGGACCCAAAAGACCATCCCATTCCATGGGGAGGGGGCTGAACAAAGCTAAGTAGGAATTGGTTTTGTCTGTCTGTAACTTGTGATCTTCTTGGTCAGGAGGGGAGAATACGCCAAAGGCTTCAGGGTTTGGTGATGCTACCTGGAAAACGGGATAGTTCAGCTCTTTGTTCCTTTTGAGAGTTCCCAAATTGCCAAAAAGTCACTCTGAGAAATGGCATCCTCAGATCAGGACTTTTCAACCTCATCTGAACTTGAAACTGGGCTCAAAATCAGGCGTGGTTGCATGGAACATGTCTTAAATGTTGTGGCTGATTTTGGTGTTTTAAAATTGGTGCGTTGACTCTTCACAGCAACATTTGCTTTAAAATATGAACAAGAAAAGTGTGATTGAGCTCTGTTGGTCGGTTCTGCCACTTCAGGTGTAGATAGTTCTCTTTTCTTTTGGTCATATTTTATTTTTCCTGCATTTGGAACAGTTTTCCTATTTATATTCTTCGTGTAATTCCGTGCTGCCTCAACCGTGGGTTCCCCATCAATCTCTGTGACAGAGCTGAGCAGCCTCCGAAAAAAAAAATTGCCAATGAACTTAATTTAACATGGGTCTGTTTATCATCTTGGGCTTTTTTTTTTTTTCCTGTTTTCATTATTTGTTTTTAACCAGCCTGTCTTCAAAAACCTGCAGCCAAACCCGTGATCTTGCAGGGAAGCCCAGAATTGTTTGGGTTGGAAGGAATCTCTCAAGATTATGCAGCACACGAGGATTTAAAGAGCTTTATGCTCCTTAATTTTTCTAACCATAAGATGGGCCTGTGTAAACAAAAATGTGCAGAACTGATACCAGCAGACATCTGGGAATTAACTCTTTCTTGTCTCTCACCCTTAGGGAGAAAGGAAAAACTTTGTAGACTTATTTCCCTTTCTGAACATCCAGGGGAAGTCTCTGCTCTCTCAAGATTGGAAGTCTCTTCAGATTTGTGGTTGTGTGCTCTTGGGTTCTGGTTCAAGCAGAGTTTCTAAATTTGTTACCTTTTTTAACAACAATTCACTTTAAAGCAGTCAGTTAGAGACTGAATTTTGCAAAGTTTATCATGGTAAGGCAAAATAATTATTAAAAATTACTATTCTTTATGCCCTTAGTACTTTTTTCACGCTTTAGCCTCCGATTTCAGGGTTTGTTTCTCCAGCTGACGAGCACAATGTGCTGAGTCCCCATTCTGCTTGTTCCACTCCAGCCCCTCAGTGCTGAGGAAATCCAGATCCAGCCTTGGGGTGTGATTCCTGTTTTAAATTGGCTCCATGGGGAGAGTGGAACTGGCAGAGCAACCGTTTGCGGTTTCCCCTCTTTCGGGAGCGCGTGGAGAAAGGGGTGGTCAAAGAACACTCTTCTGGTCTATCCTCAGCTTTCTGTGGTGGTTCCTGGAGGAGGGGATGGATGTGTGGGATTAAAATGGGTCAGAAACGACCGAAAAAAGGCCGTTTACGAGGAGATGAAAATGACACATTTGAGCACAAACCGTGGTGGAGCTTGTTGGGCAGGACAGTGGCGAGCTGGGACTTGTGGGCTGGTGCTGGTGGTGACTATTGTGTTTGTGTTTTATAATTATTCATCAGGCCATGCAAATAACGAGATGCTATCGATGTGAACACACCAGAGGAGGTGCTGAGTCATAAATAGCTTGGTTTCAGTGTGGTCAAACACTTGCAGTTAAAGTTTAAAGTGTGGGGTTTCCTCAAAATACTTCTGTCACGGTAAATACAATCCCCATTTTCATCGTCCTTTTTGGGTAGAGTCTTTCAGCATCCCAGCTTTTCTTCTATTAATTTCTTCCATTTTCCATTAATTTCTTCCATTTTCCATTAATTTCTTCCATCTTTCATTAACTTCTTCCAGAGGTTAAAAAAAAACAAACCCAACCAGGGATTAAAACTCGCCCAAGGACCTTCTAGTCTTGCACAGGAGAACTTGAAGCAGCTTGTCTGGCAGTAGGAATCCTTAGAAATTTAGAGGTAACATATTCTAATCAAATTCGAGGGTTTTTTAGTGTACTCTGTTTGTTGTTTCAGGGTTACCCATTGAAGGGAGGACGTCCCTTTGTCACCATGGGGTCAGTCGTGTGGGAATGTGGTTAAAAGCTTTAAAAACTTAAACTAATTCATGGCATATTGGACTGAGAAAAGGGAAGGTTTCTTGCACACCTGCCTCAAATACATCGTCCCCTGGACTGAGCTGAGGATGTTGAACACAAAGACTGTTCCAGTTTGGAAGAGCCTCAAACAAGGACTGGGAATATCTTTGTCGAGGTGAAACCCGAGGATACAGAAGGAGCTGGAAGGGCCGCGACCGGCCCCGTTCCCGGTGTGGAAGGATGGCTGGGAGCTGGATTTTGTG